AGGGGTATGGGCCAGGGCGGTGCGGACGCTTGGGGCTCCACCCTCCTCTGACCCCCAGAACCTCGGTGTGCGCGGGGGCCAGCGGGAGAAGTCCCCGGCCACCGCCAGCCCTGTTTCGGCGGCCAGCGCCTACCTCCCGCGCGTGCCAACTGTTCACCCGGCTCGAGCGAATAACAGCCATCCTCGCCCCTCGGCCCTCCGCGGGCGGCGGGTTCCTCCTTTCCCTCCCCGCCGCGCCGCCTCGACGCGACCCTCCAGGCCGCACATTTTGTGAGGGGGAGTAGGATAGGCCGGAGGTCCCCGGAAACCGGCCCCTCCGGCTCTAGGACGCATTGATGGGGTGGGATCAGGCCCCTGCTCAGCACCGGGGGTCGGAGGGAGCGGGTCGGAGGCGGTCCCCGCGGCCCGGGCTCTAGAAGGCAGCAAGCGGGCGGAGAGCAGCGCCTCCTTAACCGGCGCCGGCCGCTCTCAGTCCCCTCCCCCTGGCGCTCCGGCTGGCTGGCGCCCGCAGCCGCCCTACCCGGCCTCGCCTTCTTCTCTTGCTCTGCTTCCCCGTCTCCTTTCCGAGGCCCAGCGGCCCGCCTGGCTCACCTGAGCCGGCTACTGATGGGGTGCCCTTACCTGCGCGCCTGGGAGGTGCCGGGTGGCGGGCCTCGGCGCCCGCAGTCTGCAGAGCGCTCGTCTCTGCGACTCCCTACAGAGTTGGCACTTGGGGCCCGGAATTCGGAACTCCCGGTACCTTCTTCCTTACCCGGGACCCTCACCTCCCACCCCGTTGGAAGCTACCTGGCCTTAGTGGAAACTCATCTCCAGCCTACACGCCCGCCCACGAAATGTGGCCTACTTTAAATGTGACCTACTTTTTAAAAACCATTAACACTCACGGGAAAACCGGATCCACAATTTCGATAACCAATTTTCTTTGAAATACTACTCTATTGCATCACTGCTCAAAAGCTTGAAAGGTCAATGGCCACTTTTAGTTGAAGCAGTGGCTATGGGGAAGTTGGGCGAGGAAGGGGGAGGGGTGGGTGGGAGGCGCGGCTTACAAACTTTGCTCGGTGCCCCCCCTGCCGGTTCTGAGAGGAAGCGTCAACCTGCTCCCAGCCTTGGTGCTGGAGTTTGGAATGAATGGTTTTCTCAATTTTCCTGCTTTTGAGTAAGTAACTCTACGCAAGTGATAGGTGAGTCGGGAAGGGGTGCATTTCCCAGCTAGCAAAAGGTTTTGTCAACGCAGTCATGTTTAGTTTTTTCGAGAGTCTTTGATAGGGAGGGTGGAGCTAATTGAACTCTAGTTAAAACCTTCTACAAAGTAGTTGAATAACTTTGCCAGGCCATTTACCTTCTTTGGACCTCTGGCCTTTTGCGTAAAATCAAGAGCTAGACTGGAGTTCTGTGTGAGGGACTGTGATGAATGAACATATCAGATTCCATGTGGAGTCTGTGTGTAGTCTGAGGCCCAAAACCTTTAAGAACCACTAGGTAGGTCTACTAGGTTTGCTACACCCTAAATTATTCTGTATGGCTTCCCTTCCTTGGTAAAGAATCCCAGAGGAATGCTGTACCCACTTTTCTGTAGTTTACATTAAAAGGTGTTACTAAAGTTTCTACAAATAAAATTTTATTTAATTGTTAGTTGAAATGAATCTTCCAGCGACCCTTCTTTTTGTGCTTTCCTCTTGCCTCTCAGGGCCTTTGAACATGCTGTGTCCTCTTTCTAGAAGACCCCTCCCCAGACCCAGTGTAGGGCCTACATTCGTCATTCAGGTTCTAGCTCAAAGTCACCTCCACAGAGAAGCATTGTCCATGAAAATTACAGTAAGCACAATGCCAGCTATAGGACACCAAGCTTTATACCAAAGTAGGATTTTCAGTTTTTGTTTTTAGAATGTTGCTCAGCAATGCCTAGAATTTTGTTGGCCTTTTCCATCCTCAAGAAACACATATGGGAGCCACTTAGGAATTATAGAATCATGGCAAGTGAAAAAAAGTAGAATATGAAATCGCATCTATGCTATGATTACATTATAAAATTATTTATGCATGTGGTTAAAAACAGAAGGGAATATGGAGAAATAAAAGCAGCTGTTTTTAGGGTGGCAGGATATGGGTAAACTTTTTCATTTGACTTTTCTTAATACTGTTGCTGTATTTTTGATAGTCATCATTTTTCCAAAATTGCATACGGGCCAATGTCTTCATTTACTCTAAGAGAGTAGAGTATAGTTTTCAGAGCTTATAAAAACTAAAAAACTGACCTGCTGCTCAGCATCGCCTTTTAGATGTCTAGTAGGCATTTCCAACTTAATATGTCCAATCTGAGACCTGATAAACCCTCCCCACTTAAAACCAAAAAAGCCATTCCTCCTGCACTCTTCCCCATCTCTGAAAATTTCAGTTCCAATCTTCAGTTGCGTAGGCCAAAAGCCTTAGAGTCATTGTGAGTTCTTTCTTTTTCACACACCCCATAGCCCACCTGCCAGCCAATCCTTTGACTCTGATTTTGCAATAAACCCAGAATTGAAGCTATTGTCACATGTCCCTTGCACACCAGTCCAAGCCACCCTAATCTTTGCCTGGGTTGCTGCAGCAGCTCTTGAATGGCCTCCTTCCCTCTCCAACAGAGTATGGGGAGTGATTCTGCTTAAACTAGGTCATTTCATGTTTCTCCTACTCCAATTCAGGAGGCCGAACACACCTGAGTGAAAGACAAAACTCTAATAGCCACTCAAAAGGTCCTATAAGATCTGTTCCTGTTCACCTCTCTGATCTCATTTGTTCCTGCTCTGTTCCTTAATCGCTGCACAAGTCACACTGGACTCCTTGCCATTTCTAGAACGTGCTACCCTTGCTCCTTCCTCAGGCCTTTGTATCTACTGTCCCCTGTACGTGTCCTGCTCTTCTTTCAGATATCTGCACGGTTTCCTCCCTCACAGCCTCAGATCTTTATTGAGTGCCACCTTCTTAGTGACACCTTGTCTAATCACCTCTTTCAGAATTCACACACACACACACACACACACACACACACACACACACACACACACACACACTTCTCTTCCCTGCTGTAATTTTTTTTTTTTTTTTTTTTTGGTAGCTGGCCAGTATGGGGACCTAGGTTTTTTCATAACTCTGACAACTATCTGACCTAGTTTATGTTTTATTTATTTGTCCAACTCACTGTCTTTCTCCCCCACTAGGATGTAATCATCATGTTTTGTACTTGCATTGTTCACAGCTGTATTTTAGCACCTTGACTAGTTCCCAGCATGTAATAGGCATTCAACATAATCATTGAATGAATGAATGAATTAGCAGCATGGCTTTAAACTATCCAGGTATGAATTGTCACTCTGACACTGCTTGCTACATATGCTTGATCTTTGGCAAATTCTTTAGCCCCTTATTATGAAGACAATAATGGCACCTCCCTTACAGTGCTGTGTGAGAACTACATGAGATATTCTATGAAAAGTGCTTTGGCACATAGCAAATACCTACTGAAGATTAACTGTTATTTCAACTATCATCCTTTTGTTCTCAGTGAATTTGGTTTTTTTTTGTTTGTTTGTTTGTTTGTTTTTTTAAAGATGACCGGTAAGGGGATCTTAACCCTTGACTTGGTGTTGTCAGCACCACGCTCAACCAGTGAGTGAACCGGCCATCCCTATATGGGATCCGAACCCGGGGCCTTGGTGTTATCAGCACCGCACTCTCCCAAGTGAGCCACGGGCCGCCCCGATTCTCAGTGAATTTGGATTTTTCTCCCTATGCTTAAGATTTCTTACATTTGCCAAATAAAAGTCAATGGTCACCCCAACCTTACCACACTCCCTTCCTGTGGCTGCCTGAGAACTTCATGTTGATTTTCTGAAGCTTTTCTTCACCTTTAACTTATGAGGTATCAAAAGTGATTTCATCTCTTCCTCAATTTTCAGAACATATCTGTTCTGTTCAGTGGGGCAGGTTCGTGGCTGCAGTGATAAGCAGTCATTCTGTATGAGGAGGGAAGAGAGGGTGATTTTCACAAAGCTGGGGAATTTCTTCCATTGCCTGCACTGAGAAATTGCCAGGGCTTGAAAATCCCCTTTATGTGCCAAACCAGAACTGGACGTTTTTGATTTCGCAATGCAGATGTTCTAATACTGGAATTGACAAGTGCTCCACGCTGAGTTTCTGCTGAGTTGCTGAGAGGGTTTTTCAGTTTTGTTGGGGGTATGGGGAAGCCATAGCATGATCTCTGGCGATTGTGTCTGACACACATGCAGGCAGAAGGTACACTTTTAAGTGTCCACCATCCCTTCCTTTCTTTTAGAATTTGCCATCTCCCTAGCACCACCACACACGACTCCCTGTGACTCTGGTACCCACTCTTCTGGAGAGCACGTGGCCCAGGCTAGCCAACAGGAGTGCCTCATACCCTTGGACACAGGGGTTCATCCACTATCTCAACCCCAGCAGGGCCCACCAGATTATTTTTTTCAGGCTTTGATGTAAATGTGGCAGGAAAAGGAGTCTCTTCCCTTCTGAGATGAGCAGTAATGATCATGGAAGTCAACTTTTCCACCACTTGGAGGGGGCCTGTCAAAGTACAAAGTCAACAGGGAAGAAAGCAGAGCTGAGGTTTGAATGAGCAGGAGAGATTCCTGAGCACCTGAATCCAATGTGCCTGAAGCTGCACTACCCTTGGGCTTCTCAATACAAGAGCCAACGAGTTTATTTTCTCCTGACCTGGTTTGATTTGGGATCTTGCAACTTGTAATCACAGGGACTTTTGTGGGGTGTAGTGGGTTGGGTGTGGAGGCATTTAGAGAGGGGGTGGAATGGAGAATGGAGAAGAGGAAGAAGAGGGATACCTTCTACTTTAATGAGTATCTCCTACTTTACATCTGGTGCTTTTCAGTACTAATTCCCTTTAACAGTGTCCTACCTACTTCATCACCACAATCGAGGTCACTCACTGGTAGACAAAGAGGGAGAGGAGCAGATGCCACTGGCTTTGGTGCTCTGGGTCAGGGACAGGGACAGGGAGAAGTGAGGCAGATGGCTTGCCCCTAGACTTCTGGGATCCAGGAACAGGGTAAACAGCCACGCCCTCCTTCTTTCCGCCCACAGAAGGGGAGGAGGAGGTTATGCTCTAGGACAGTGGTTGTCAACACTATTTAAGTTACAGATCTCTCAAAGTTCTGGTGAAATATAGAGAGCAGAGGTCACAAGCCACTTGCCTAGGAGGGCCATATTTGACTCCCTCAGAGTGTTTTGGGTGGTGTGCCAGGATTCTAGAAAAATGAACCAAATTTAAAAATCTGGAGATTTCACCTCCACAGCAATCCAGATTTCCACTTTCTCTTAATCAGCCATAAGATCTGTCAACACAGGGTCCCAGTCCCTGAAGGCAGTGATCAACTGAGATGGAGCAGTGGCTGCCACTTCAGAAGGCACATGACCTACCACTCGCCACAGTCCTCCCTTCCATGGGTCCCCAGCATTGAGCATTACTTGCTGTTTGTCACCACCCTTCCCTTGTTTTTCTTACACTGGAGAAATATTTCTGTGGACACAAGTCTCTATCAGAAGTGGTGAAATAAAAGACCCAAAGGATTGAATATGTCAAGACAAATGGGAGCATATTCTTCTGTGTTTAAAAGGCAGGGTTCTCACACCTGATTTCATTCTTCGATATTTCTACCTGGCCCTGCAGGCATTTATGTGCCTGCTACATCTGAGATGTTTTCTGCAGAAAAATGTTCTGGAGCCACAGATTTTGGGGGTTAATTGACAACCCAGAGGCTGACAGTGAATTCCTGGGAGCCTGTTGATCTCAGGAGAGAACCCTTGTTCTAAGGGAGTAGATGGTCTCCATTAAGGGACTCCTGAGTGATAAAATTCTGCCTTCAGCGTTGTATGGGAGTCTCTTTATTGGAATTGGTCTGTATGGTCAGAGGATCATCAATCATAAGATTTGGTGTGGGAAAGGACTATGTCACTAGTGCAGAA